TAAAGAATAGAATCGATTTATTTATTTTCTGAAAAAATTTAATCGAAAGATATTGTCCTTAATAGTGCAATGTATACTTGGTGTGTTTCAAACTTTTGTTTCAAACCCGATTTTTCTTATTGTATTCTATTTGATTATTACCAAATATGAATATTTAATATGTGGTTTACCATCTTGATTCAAGAATGAGTTATTGCCGGATTTTATACGTTAATAATGTTATCGTCATTATTTTTTAAAAGAAACAATATATAAATAAGCAAAAGTCAAAAAAGTTTTAATTGAAATCAGCACCGTTATCATTAAAATTTATTTTCTTTGGAGCTTATATTTACACAATCTGTTTCAGTATCGAGCTGAAAGAATAAGTATTACAACATTTATATATTTGCAAAACAAGCCAATCTTTTTTTAATTAATATTGAAATAAGTTTCTTTTTTAAAATGCAAATTGATATGCGATTTCCTATGTGCGAAATTAAATTTTGGATAATACAGGTAATAATTTAAATGCAAAATAATTATACATTATCAGTTCTGTAAACTTTATTTATTATAATTTTTAATAGTATAAAGTATGACAAATAATGTAGCATTATGCGTTGTACTTTATATATTCAATTAAAATTTTTGTTTGTTGTTATTGAGACAATCTGATGAAACTTGTTGAAAACTTATTTTTTCTAACATTTCTTTACACAATTTAATTATCTTATAAAATATGACTTTGTATTCTTTCCCAATAATGTTAATATTTATATCTTATTTCTTATTTCATAGGACTTCTCTCATGTGTATTTATAGGCTACTTTATATTGTTTCGCGAGCATATTTTTTAGACGCATCGATTTCATTTTTCTCGCGGATTGTCTATGCAGTTATCCACACGTTCATTTATAATAATTATACTTGCACTGGGAAATTTCTCATGATAACGTAACAATAGGAAAATGATAGGATTAGAATTGTGTCAAGGACAAATTACATGACTATGTACTATTGTTTACTGAACACATTAAAATACTGAACTCTAATTAAAATTAGAAAATTAAAATTTTTTTATTAAAAGAGCATTTATTATTGAAATTAGTAGATATGTAACATATGTTCAAAGTAAAATTTTTAATATGCATTCTTTTATCAATAAAATTTGATTATGAAAAAGATTACGAAAAGTCATCCAGAAAATATTATGACATAAAGTCATCCAGTAGAATGTCTCAAAGATTAATTAAGACTCTTAAAATTCTAAAAAGTCTTATCGAAATTATCGGAAAGATGTTGTATAGCATTTTATGTCATAATTTATGATATCCAATGTCTCATTATGACTTTTGAAACTGAGTCGGAGA